CACACACACACACACACACACACACACACACACACACACACACACACACACACACACACACACGTGGCAGCGGTGGGGCAGGAGTCTGCAGCCCCGCCTCAGAGTCTCAGCACTTGCAGCCATTTGTCATCCTCACAGAGCATTGCAACTTTATGCCTAGGCATGAAAACTGGAGGGACTCGTCCCAGAGTTTGCTGCTGCTTCCACCACTGCCGTGAGAGCAGTTATAATTAGCTGCAGGATTTTAAGGACCTGAGATCAAGAAGAACCCCATCTCAGAAGTAAGCAGGAGCCACACACATGGAAGAACTCGTCTGACAAAACAGATGGAGGTGGTGTTCTCAGGGGACTGGGCTGTGTGCTTTGTTTCAGCAAAGAGCAGATGAGTTACTGAGGCCAGGAGGCCGAGGAGGGAAGCCGGGAGGTCAGCCCCAGCGCCGGCCTCGGTGCGGGGCAGAGCTGGAGGCGCAGCCCCCTCTGCTGCCCTGGCAGAACGCTTGGTGCCGGGTTCAAGGTGACGGCAGTGCCTGGCTCCATTCTCCTCAAGTTGCCATAGCAGCCTGTCTCCCGATGAGCAGCTTCTCCTGGAACCCTCAGCCGGGAGGGACGTCATTCTTCGCTCCTGCTTCGCTCCTGCCGGTTAGGGAAGGAGACTGACTAGACAGAGAACTTTCCTGGGCCCGGGGTCTGCACACCAAGTGAGTGTACCCGGTGGGCATGTGGCTGGATGCATCCTGCTGCCTCCAGCGGGACACAGCGTCCTCTGGGTGACTGGGGCGAGTGTCTGGGCCTTGGAGCCTCCACAGGCAAGTGTGTCCTTGGAGCCGTCCGTCCGTCCGTCCGTCCGCCTGCCGGCCCTTGGCCACTGGAGGCGCGTGTGTTTTGTTGGCTGAATTCCCAAGTCCTTGCTTGTGCCCTGAAGTGAATTTTCTAGAGACGAATTTTTAAATCAGATAAATAAGGAAATAGGAGAAATCCTTGGCCCTGCCCTGTGTCCCAGGAGGTGTTTACAAGATTAATTGGATTTCTTTTTCTTACTGTAAAAATTGGTGCTGTCATTCAGGCCTCAGGGAGAGAAGCCGCTGGGAGCGCTAGGAATTGGGAGAAGGGCAGGACCTTCTGAAAACTCAGCGGGCTGTTTGTTTTTCTTGCCTCACCCCTCCCCCTTCCACCCCCAGTTATTTGAATTTTCTTATTGTCTGTTGGCCTTGGAAGGGAAGCAGGGAAGTAGGGGAGGCTTTTCCACTTGTCGTCAGAGCCGAGGGTGATGCAGTGCGTGCAGAGGATGCACCAGTCCTCCCAGCTGGGGGCGGAGGCCGGTGAATGTGTTTATGGGCCCCCGGGCAGCCCGGCCCCAGCCTGTGGTAGAGTGTGGTGTCCCCTTCCCAGGCAGCAGCTCAACTCCCTGGAGAGGGAGACAGCCTTTGGACAGCTCTCCCCACGGCCTTGAAAATAACATGTGACTTTGAAGACAAGGACCCTCACGGGAACAGTAGTGGATCAGATGTGCATACCCTCTGGAGTGTCTCTGGTGATCTGCTGGTGACCTCTCAGCTACCTCCCTTTATAGGAAGGACGTGCCTGTGGATAAGGTGATGTTGGCCCCCTCCTGGGGCACTGAAGACCCAGCCAGACTGGGAACTAGTCTCCCAGGAGGGGAGGCATGCTAACCTTTGATTCTTGTTTACGTGGAGCAGGGAGTTAGCCAATCAGATGGTCTCTCAGTGAAAGCCCCCACTGGGAGGAGTGTCGCGGGGGGGGGGGGGGGGGGGGGGGGGGGGGGGGGGGGGGGGGGGGG